CTATGGCTAGAAATTGGCCTCAATGATTTGGGATCGAGGGGGATTATCCCTCTTTATCCTGCCTCATCTCGTGTAGGCCTGGACAGCCTTCGTAGGTGGGCCCCATCCGTCGTCTACCCCGACCGCAAATGCGGCCGGTGTAGGCGCTTTGTGGGACCTCCTTTTGTCCTGGCTGGGCCCCGCCGGCTAGGGCCCTTTCTTCTGGCGCTCTTCTTGCTTCGCCGGCTCGTCTGTGTAAACCCCGGGGGTAGTGTCATGTTTATGTGTGGTATGGTTGGGTAGGGTAGTGCGGCTATGCAGCCTGGGATGCGCTTTGCTAAGGTGGCCCTTAGGCTAGCGCGGGAGGGGAGGGGTAAGGAGGGTATGGGGGGTGTGTATGTGTGTGTGTGTGTGTGTGTCGTTGTCTTCGTTTCTTGATCCTGGCTGTCTCTGAAACAGAAAAGGTTAGCGGGCAGGGGGATTCCTTCAACGTTCAAAAATAAGTGTTTAAGTTTTTAAGAGAAATTTATCAGGTGAATTTTTTCTCTGGAGAATCAGTTCTCCTATTTTCAAAAATCAAGCCCCAGGTATACGTCTAGGGATGGCAATTTTTGAAAAATGATCGATGTATGACATCAGTGAACGTCACATTGACGGGTTCGATACATTAAAAGAAAAACATCAATGTTTCGATATCTTTTCGCATAACACAAAATAATATAAATAGGTAACTATTATGGATTTGTGGTGTATGGATAGAACTTGTGCCTTCTACTTTAAATATTTTATATTATTCTATTCTATAGCAGAAAATACAATTAAAAAAATATACGATAAAAATTTAATACAATTTATTTTAATGAGCGAACAGTACTGTAGTTAATATCACAATGATTAGATATCATATTAAAATTACATTACATTACTTGTAAGCGTTGAGAAATAAGATGTACAGGTATTAGTTTGTCTTCTTAAGATAGAACCGTTTATTTTCTTTCAGTGCTACTAATTTTTTGCTTATTGAAAATTAAATTTATTTTTATCAACATAATTTTATTATATTACACATTAAATAAAAAGAATGATTATTGTTTATATCACAAGAGGCACAACGTTAAGTATATAAGCCAGGTTATCGAAACTAAATAAAGGTGGTATTGTGTCCTAAAGCGTTACGCGTTGTCCTACTAATCTAAAGGTCCGGGGTTCGATCCCTGTTGAGGTATGGTTTTTTTTTCAATTAAAATAATATTTCGAATGTAATTTTCTATCGTCCACATTTCAAGACAAATATTTCTGCACCAGTTGCTGGTCACGAAGTGAATAATTTCTCACAGTGTTGCCAAATATCTGCTGATTCGAGGCGCGCTAGATTTCTTGTTAAATTCTGCCAGAAAATCGTGAAATAAAAAATACAGATAAATACGTATAGGCTTTAAGCAAATTAAATTTTTACTCGGGCATATTTACGAATTCGTAAAATAGCCCTGAGCCCCAGAAAAAATGCATCTTTTATACTTAAATTTTTTTAATTTACAAAAATGTCACAAAAATTATTGTTAAACGAAATATTAATTAAAATTTCAATCTCGGAATTATTTTACTATTATTAAATAAATAAATGAAGCTATCGTTCATTTAAAAAGTTATTGTTTTATATATTAAGGCAAAGTAAACTTGTTTTTTCAATATTTTGTTAGCTATTTAATTACGATTTAAATGTAAAATTAAAGTGAAAATTCATAAATTATTTTCAAATTCAAAAATGAGCACTTTTCTTGTTTTTTTGCAATAACTTTTTTGTTTATTAACCGATTTTAATTGAACAGGTCTCATTTTGAGATAATTTTACTACCTACAAGCTGTCTGTGAGTCACTTTTCGCTAAAATTGATGGATTTCCCTGCAAAGTGAAAAAACTATTTTCCTCACTTATTTGTATAAATAGAAAAGTTAGGTAATAAAAGTTTTTGACTCACGAGATGAGAGATGTCTTGTATTATGTTCCTTTAGACAATTTTACAATAATCTCGCGGATAGGACTTTTTTCGAGTAAAAATTTAATTTGCTTTTGGTCTATATGCGCAACGCAGTGCTGCCAACCGCATATCACTAAATTATTTTTCCTTCTTATATTATACTTTATTAATATGTTAATTAAATTAATCAATTTTGCCACTAAAGTTCATAGAACATTTTCTACAAAAATATTTTTTGTGCAACTGCAAAAATGCCCCGATGTTCTGTGCTACGATAACATTCCATTCGCATTGACAACAGCCACGCTCAATTAAAACTTCAATTAGGTGTACCGTTAATATTTTTACACCTCTGCAACTAGGTAAACAAGAACACATGTTCTGATAATCCGCGGTGTTATTATTAAATGTGTTACACTAGCAACAAATTTTGTACTAGATATTTTCAGCTGAACTAATTTTCTCTTCTGATTTTTCCAGGCGTTAGTGGGCAGCTATCAACGGCGTGTAGGTTCCCAGGGGCTCCAGCCCATTCCTCGGTCATATTCTCCGACGAAAACCTAGGACCTGGTGCTGTGGCGACCTACACCTGCGAGAGAGGTTTCGAACTTCTGGGTCCTTCGAGGAGGGTTTGCGAAAACGGAGTTTGGCTACCCGAAGGCATACCTTTTTGTGGTAAGTTTCAATTACGTACCGTTGTATGATCTTTCTGTTGAGATAATCTTAATAATTAATTATGGCAAAGCACTTGAGTGAGACTTGCAATCACCGGTAATCGTTATAACCCGGAATCAAAGCTCCACTGCCCTTTGCTCACCGTACTAACGGTACGACATATGCTTTGCTTCCTAAGAAACGGAGATAACAATTTTTCGCGTGGCGCTGGCCTGGTCTGGTCTGGCAACTGGAAATGTTTTACTCCAAAACGGTTATGCCGCACAGTACCTACGGACGAGCTATTTGAATAATTAAAAAGTGAGTTTGATAACTGTACCTCGTTCGAAGTTACCACGCAAATAGAACGTCATTGTTTTATAATCTGGTCTACTTCTGAATCGGAAGTAAGATTAAAATACTTACGCTTTAATAAAAATTTAGGTCAGGCCATTATTGTACGGAAGTAGTTTGTGGCGAGCGAATATCGGAAAGCAGGGGCGTACGCTGATAGATTCACAAGGAAAATTTGCCTTATAATTAAATAATAATAAATCTTACAGTGGGTGTAACTGAATTACTTGGTCAAAAAAGTTCCTGTAGTAAAAGCTTCGTCTTCGATTTCTACGCTGAACTTAACATTTACGAACCTAACTTCATCTAAATTGTTAGTTTATTTTTTTTCAATGTACTCGATTTTTAGCATTAGAAAAGAAAAGTGAGTTATTAATAATTCAATGGCATGTGAAAACCAAGAGCTTTAAAATAAATTTAGAGTAATTTTTCTCAAAAAAAGCTCGTGAGGAAGCCCTAAAGAAATAATTAAAAAAAAGTACATTTTGGATCATTTTTATAGGTTCTAGGAGTTTTGGGGACTACTAACTACAAAAGGCCCCTGCGTGCGCCAATGTCTTTCTACCTCGGGTGTCGAATGCGGTTAATTCCAAGAAAATTACGCAGGGGTCTTATTGGAATTCAGTCTCAAACATCGTACGGACTATAACTTAAGAGCGAAATGCGAAAAATTTCTTAAAACTGTAAATTAAATTCCTGTGATCTGTGATATAGGGTAAATTTCTAACACACACAAGAATGCCTGCGTTTGTAAACATAGCGGACGGTAACATGCTTTCTCCAAGTTGAAATCATAATCGTAGTAATGGGTTTTCCCACTAGCAGAGGCATGTAAATCTGAGTTGTCTACATAGTGCGTTGCACTGTCGGGTCATTGCAAAAAATCGGACGTAAGTTTTCTAATTACATACCGAACTGGACTGACAATAGAGATAATCGAAATTTCCTTGTTTTTTAATCGATATGGGACCTCAAAAACATGTTCTTTTTAGTTGTAGATTCACCGGTACCATTTGTGCTACTTCTTTTGTAGTCACCCTCTTATAATCCCTTCGAGTAGTCGTCCATTGGCGATTCAAATACATTTATTTGAATACGCTCGAAAATTTAGGCCGATTTCCAGCCTAGCACAAATTTTATTTACCCACGTTGCACGCTTGACCTACTTGACTAGCCTGTTCCGTTACAATCTTGTTACTCACAGTCGATGCGACATCGTAAGTGAAATTGGATATTTTCGGATTATACCGTTGACGTACGTACGTATGCGAATACAACAATACAAGCGACGACATCAAGATGAAATTGTGTTTCTCGGAAAAAGAAAGAGAAAATAGCCGGCATCCGGATTAAGGGACGTCGGTCGTTGCCTTTTGCACTACGTATGCATATATTTTAATTTTGAGTTATTTTATATGTACGTAGAACATATAAACGATTTTTTTTACAATTTTAAATTAAACAAACACTCAATCCTGTGATAAACCGTTCATTTTAGCCAAAATATCGCACCTCACGATATGCGTGCACAGTAATGGTGATGCTGTTCTACTCTACATGCTCCATTGTGTGTTCGTGGTGATTTATCAAATTTCACTATTATATCAATTCGTGACATATTGGAAAAAAATATGTTAATGGAAAATAGTTCCAAAGCTTGTAAAAATTCTATACTACAGCTACGTCTTTTTTAATCTGCATAAAATTGACAATGACGAGATTTATTAATTTAAATTGCCATTTTAACCGATATATGTGTATACAAAATGTTTTTTGGCGCTTTAAATTCTTTTTTGTCAGTGAAGTATGAAACATATTAAAGCTCTAAACATGTTGGTGCCAGTCCAGGTTAGAGATTTCTTCACATTCAATATATCCCTTACTTTATTAGATAATATAAAATTTTATTTATAACCAGTCCGTTTCATGCGCTCTTACGAAAATACGATAAACAGTTATTACATTTACTAGTAGCTATAATTAACATCTATAAAGCTAGATTACAGCAAAACATTTTATTGACTAGAATTGTAAATATCGAAATACTCGTATATATATTCCGTTACTATCTCTCGTGTTTTTACCTCTATTCCAAAGATATTAAGCTAATTTCTCCTAATGAATCTTATCAAATGAAATCAATGTTCTTCGATACCAGAAATCTGCAAACAAAAAGATACCTAACCTAAAGTCGGTCGTTCTTGGGGGTGAAAATTCGAAATATTTGAATTTATTCAATTTTCGTGGCTGAAAACACACATAGGTACTGTTGATGTTGCAGGAAACAACTAGGTACTCTATGGGCTACATGCCCAAGGAACACCAATTATCAGTAATATCTAATCGACGCTTTCTTCAAGAAAGGTGAACAAATCACTTGCGTAAAAAGTTGCTTATGTATCTAATTACTCCAACAAAGTGTTACGGTGTTTGAAACCCATTTTGTAGTTACGGCACATATCTTATACATTCTAAATTTATTCGTATCGAATGGTAAATATTTAGTACCCATCACTTAAACGGAATCGCTTAGAAATTCAACATCAGTTACCTAGGTCAAATAATGTAATGGTATTCTCTGTAAAAATTGTGTCGTTTTATCGTTTTCAATTTATCTTTTTTCTATCTACTTATTTGTCAAAAGCGATGAGCGAAGCCGAATAAAATAGATATTTGATATTTGTTTTTGAAAAAACTGTGGATTTTCGGGAAAAAACATTTTCAATTTAAAAAATGAATAAAATATTTTTTTATTCTTTAATTGATTGAGCTTTAAGTTTCAATTTGCTTTTTTTTCTTACTGCTCTACGTCCATTTTTCGCTAAGTTAGGGCCTTTTGAAAATTCACCTAAAAACTTAAGATTTTTTTTATCTTTTAATTTTTGTGCCTAGTTTCTAAACAACAAACATTTCTCGGAAGGTGTGGTCAGTGTCAATCATCGGGTCAATAAATCCTGACAACTACACACGAATTAGAGTCAATGTATTCACATCAGGGTTTAATTAATGCAATATCGACAATCGCTTTACATTCAAAACACAACAGAACGGTACACGTCATGAAATATCACTACGTTTGACAAATACTTATTACTGCAATCAGTTTTCATCGTTTTGTAAATATTGGTATAGTAATCGATATTTCTACAGATTATTACGAGTGTAATTACGGACTACAAACGGATTTTTAAATTTCTAATCTAGAAAAGGATTAGGGAAAATCGACCACAGTACAGCAATTCTTATTTGCTATAAATCATTGTGCGATGCTTTTGATTGGTCAGAAACGTGTTCGATTGACTAAAAACAACAAATATTTGTTTTGACAGTCCATCTTTTATCACATCGGGTCACTATAGTGGGTATAATAAATCTCCATTGCATAAATTCATACAACGACCTTTGTACGAAATACTTGCAATATAATTAATGACGACCGTAACTTATCGGGCATTTTTTAACTTCAATTCACAGTGGGGTCACTGGGACTTTCTGTCGGGCAATAAATTTAGCCATTACCCACTGACAGGTGTAAATAGTTTTACTACAATGAAATAAAACCACATGTTGGATTGCAGTTACTGACGTACATATTAGGCTAATAATAAGCGGTTAGAAAGATGTCCTAAATGAATTACTTTTGATCGATACCTATAACGGAGTCGTCATATTAATTTTTTTTTTAATTAACTGAAAGAATACGTCTTAAAGTTAAACATATCTGGACGGGAACCTTATTGACCGGTTCTGATATGTCTATTAATATTTAATTTATAACGTTTTAATATTAGTATTATTCTCCCAATGTTTTAAGGAAAGTACAGTGCAAATAAAAAATCATTAACTCTTTATTTTTTAGTACATAAATAATGTAAATTCCTTACAGTTATTTAAACAAAAAAAAGGTGGACATTTGCAGGAAACGAAGCCTTCTCAGAGAAGGTAACTAACATTATGTGTATCGTATGCGCTTATCTAGCAGATGTTTTAAGAAACAAAAGATGAATTAAATATTATCCGTCTAGTAAGTAACGTTGCGGCGATTGTCCGTGAGTAAATTTACTAACTGTCAATCACACATCAACCTGAAAGCGTAACAGCTGTGCCCACTTATTATTTGAAACCTCGTTTGGTGGTATTTCGAAATACACATGCAGGTATTGCGTAAAATAATGGAAAGAATCCGTTTGTTCCAGCAAATTTGTTAGATATGTCAACAATAATATTTATTTTCGTTTAAATCAGTCGAAAGCACCGCCCGTGAAAAAATTACATGTGTACTTTTTCTTACACAACTTGTTCAGGCGAGCATAGATAATGCGGTGGCTAATTATTATTAACGATGGGGTAAGACTTAGCTCATTTGTGTCATATTTATAAACTGTCGCCTTAAAAAGGACGAAAAATGTGTGCACTATCAACCAACGGTATTTTTATATAAACGGGTACTGTAAATATTGCGTAAATATAATTAACTGGGCATTGTTGTCGAAAGCATATGTGAGACATGGGGCTCCAAATAACGCCGGCCTTTACAGATGTCGGTACGTTTACGGTTACTCGACATAGGTGCGTCCAGAAGGATGTAAATTTGTTTTGGTGTCATTTATAAACTTCACGAGACTAGGAAACTCGCTAGTATGTTTTATTATCTAGCCAAAAATGCC